CACTATCCTCTTAATCTCATCTGGCATTTCACTGCTGCTTAGATGCATCTGAACTACTGGCTGACGTTTGGGTACTAAGACTAGTTCGGGAAGATATATTCCTCGCTTGCTGGCTAACATTTCCGATAAACTTGAATCTCTGGAAGTATAAAAATTGATCAATAACTGGAAAAAATCTCTTTAATGTAGACAACTCTTCTTCGGAAATTATTATTTGCTGCTTCCCCTAAACAATTTGGCCGCTGCAATCAATACGCTCTACTCTTGTTTTTGAAATTTTCATATCACCCTCTGCAGTCATGCACGCACAAAGCATTGAATTTGGTGATAGGTATGTCTCCACTTTCGCTGATCTTTCGCTGTTGTTCATTTTTCAACCAATCATAAAAAAACATTGCTTTTCTTCAGGGCACAATGATTCCTGGAGTTGTAATGAGGTATATGTCTGTTGCAACTTAGGTAGTTTTTGAAAAAAAAATTCGACCCTAGGACAGCCCAAATCATCTAGGTTTTCAACCTTTCGGTCCAAGTACTTGGCCAGAAGTTCTGTCTTTTCTTTTCTTTTAGCGTAAAAAATGGCACCGGGGTTTCTCAACACAAAACTCTGAAGCAATTGATTCAAGTTTATGTAAAAGTAATCACCGTTTTCCCAATTGAGGCCGTGTAAATGATTTGTTAACCAGTTTCAAGCTTTTTGTTCGAGCTTTGTAGTATATTGAAATTCACTGGAGGTAAAAAAAAATGAGTCGGTCGCTGTAGTCTGAAGTTGTTATTGCTAATTCTTCAACCACAAAGGCGTTTTTCTTCTAACGAAAGCCTTCCACGTCAAGCACAACTGATCTCTCGCTCAGCATTCTAGTAAATGATAAAGTTCTGATTTTTTCAACCTAATGAAAAGGCAGAACGCTATTCCACTCAAGTGTCCCAATAAGCTGTTTTTACAGTTCCAGGGCAACATGTAACAGTATTAGTGACCCTGTTGATAAAGCTCTTGTATAAATCAGGCCGCATCGTGCAAAAACAGCGTGCAATTGTAAAATTTTGGAATTTTGTAAGTATTTGTCCAAGGAAGGGTTATCAATACCAATCAAGCCACCATAAGGTCTCAACCTAATTAAAATGTCGTAGTTAAGGTTATCAGAACAAACAAAAAACAGAGAACATGCAGCTAGAAAATAGTTGCGTCGGTTAGAATTATCAGGATAACAGTACTAGGGACCCTGTTGATAAAACTCGTGTATAAAGGCCGCATCGTGCAAAAACAGCGTGCAATTGTAAAATTTTGGAATAAGTTTTTGTCCAAGGAAGGGTTATCAATACCAATCAAGCTCAACTTAATTGAAATTTCATAGTTAAGGTTATCAGAACAAAAAGTTTGTTTCAAAAACGTATAATTTCCGTGAATTTTTTTTTCAAATCAATAGGAGTTACTCTGCTTTTTTGCAATTTCATTATTTTTTTCCAACACCTCTCCAACTTGCTGAGTTTCAAGCCAGTTGAAATAAAAGTCACCTTGTATATACCATTAAGACTCATTAAGGTTACGGTGGTAAATAATTAAATAAATCACCGGAAGTTTTTTGTATTTTGATAGCTTGTTGAAACATAGATGGATTTTTCTCTCCAAGTCTTTATCAGCCCATATTGAGTTAAAGTCAAAGGAATAGTCAAATACGTTTTCATAATCAGCAATATTCAATTCGCTCACAGTACCATACTTATGTAGAAATGCACCAAGAGATTTGTTGAAGCTCACTCAAATAAAATTGTTCTTAACTCGTTTTCTTTCTTTGAAATTTCCTTTGCCCTTTCGAGAAAGACGACGTAGCGTTTCATGACAAAATTTATGCGGTTGAATACTCTTATTTGTAAATTTTCATTATCAATATCTTCAGTTCACCAACTTCTCTCTAATTTCGTTTTTCTGATTTCAAGTTTTGACAATTTTATCATTTGGTAAATTTTGCCCAGAAACGGCCGCCGCCTTTGGAGAGTAATTTCAATGTACTGCCTTTTCACCATAAATTATAGGTCAAGTTAAGGAATTAGTTTACTGCTGCCAACAGTTAAGCTACGCTGCCAAAATTGCCGGCGAATTTTTATTATATACCAGAAAAGTCAATTCCCCGTTCACTAACAAATTTCAACTAGGTCGAAAGTTCATTCGCCCGAAACAAATATAACAATTAATATGATTCATATAATTAACCAGGGTCAATATTTAACATTTAAGTATGCGTGAAATGTACAGGAAGGCAGGAGAGGGTGAAATTTGGCAGAAGAGAGGGCTTAATCCCCCGCTATGGGAAGCTTTTTTACTTCTTTTCAGACATTTGTCTTGTTATCTTGGGCTTTTAGAGCTCAATTTGTCAGTTTGTAATAAGGGTTTGTTTAATGAAAACATCTTTAACTAAGAGTTTTGCAATTTGGTCACATTTTGTCTACTGAAGAAATTCATCTGCAAAAAGACGCGACAAATGTTGAAAAATGGTGCGAAGAAAATAAAATGCCGCTGAACGAAAATAAATGTAATCTGTTAAACCTCAGAGGGAAAATGGAAGTTACACTATTTAATACAGATGTTGATACCGCAAAGACCCAAAAAGATTTAGGTATTTTAATGTGTGAAAACCTTTCGTGGTCAGTAAATGCTGAAAACCTCATATCAAAAGCAATGGGAGCTTTTTACAAAATCAAACGGAGTATCTCGAAAAAAACATCATTTAAGTCAATATTAAAATTTTACTGTGGATACATTGTACCAATCATAAGCTATGCATCGCAAACATGGTATCCGAACAAAACAGAATTAAGACAACTAGAAAGAGTACAAAAAGGAACGACTTCTTGGATTACAAATAACTTCAAAATGAGTTATACTGAAAACTGAAATTTTTAGAGCTCCTTCCACTCTCAATGTACCTTGAATTGCACGACATATTGTACTTAGTTTCACTACTATGAAATAAACATGACATTGAATTGATTACAATCATTCATAAAAACGAATCACGAACGAGACAAGCAACACGTGGTGAGATTGCTGTTCATGCAACAAGACTGAAAAATTCAAATGAAAATTTTTATTTACGTTCTAATACGCTATACAACCATTTTAGCCAAATTGTGGACTTCGAAAATCAAGATTATGACAGCCTGAAAATATCTCTAACAAATACGTATTGGAACTTCTTCAACAGAAATTTTACAGAAAACAACTTGTGTATGTGAAGAATTCTTTGCTGGTGTGGAAACTGCCACCCACCGGGAAAAATTACGAACTTATAAACGAGGGTTCAAAACCCATGGAGAAATTCTAAAGCCTACCCTACTACTACTACTACTACTACTACTACTACTACTACTACTACTACTAATTAGCAAGGGTGTTGCAACCGAGTACTAGATTTTTCCCATTACTAACTTTGTTCACAGGATGCCTTAAATTGGTTCATCTCCAATTCTGGAATTTCTTCCTTTAACAGACAAATTTTTAGCCTTTCTGCGTTTTAAATGCCCAATCTTTTCGAATTTTTTATGTTGGTTGTAAATTTGTCAAATCCGATTTCAGTTTATCAGTTTCTTTCTCATGGATTAGTTCTTTTATTCTGCTTAAAAGGTATCGGCCTAGTTTATATCAGCTTAGTGGCCTCATTTCGAGTCGATTGATGAATTCAAGTAGCTCGTCATTTAAATGTTTTTAGGGAAGAGTTTTCTATGATTTTGTTTCAGCTCAACGTGTCTGCTCAAAATTTGTTGGGTTTGTTACCGCTTTGCAATTTTGTTCACTAATTTGCTGTTCAAGTATTTTGCTTGGCTTGTTTGCCTCAAATGATATTTTGTCGAGAAAGCGAAAGCTCTGTGTTTCATTCCCGACTTGAACCTTTGTCTTTAGCTTGCATGAAACTTTTAAAACTTTTCAAGATCTGGGTGGGAATCATGGCCGGACCTTATTGTATTTTGCACGTATGGAATTGATTTTTTTCCGGGCTTTTAACAACTTGGAAAATTTGCTAGGCGTATTTTGTGTTATTATAAAGCCTACAATGGCCTTAATGGGTGCCCAAAATAGCTGTAGGTTATAACGCATAAAATTCAAACCGTTGTTTCTGGACACTTTTTGTCAATCAATTCAAGACGACGGAATGGGTCTTTCGACTAATTCCGATAATTTCTCTTGCGAAAACAGGTGTCTTGTAAGAGCAAGTCCCTTACAAATTGTGAGCTAGACTTGTTTTTCCGTCAAAAACTTTATTTACAAATCTGTAAGAAATTGAACTTGATTGTTTATTCAACCTTAGCAGCTCCCAAGCTCCTTCAAACTCGGTCTGGAGGTAACGCGGTTACATTTGCACCCTTAATGTCTGGCTTTCGAGTCCTGGCCGGACTTTTTTTCACCTTATTCATAGAAGAAGTTTTTTTGGGAAAATTTGAATTGCTGGATTTCCCTTTGTTAGCTTGTTTTTTCAGTTTGGTTGCCACATATGGATTTTATGCCGGTGGTTGGCTTTCGACTGTTTTTCTGAAATTTTGTTTTCCAGTTGTATGGCAGTAATTGTGTAGAGAAGATCTGCTTCGCCTCTGGGCTTGAAGACTCTTTGCACCCTCAGGTACTCTTTGCACTTGCAAAGTGTCTTGTAGTGAACGTTTGTCATAAACATAAAGCTTTTTTGTTTGAAAAAGGGAAAATTGGTAAAGTCTCCTGGCAGTCTTTTTCAATGTTTTATTTTAGCAAAGATATCAGTCGTTCGATTAATCAATTCTAACTTCGCATCGCGAAGCTGAGCTTGCATACTGCAAATCGACATCTTAGTACCACACAAGCGAGCGTCAGATTAAGTCGACTGGTGTTTCACATTTTCCGACTTTTTTGAAAGCACGAAATTTGTTCTCGGATATGTGTATGTCTAAGTTTGAAGAGCGTTTGAATTGCGAGTGTAATGTCGAATAGCAGGTACAGTAGGGGTGGTAGTTTTAGGAAGATTTTTATTTTTCAGATAAATTTGTGTATGGTGCAATTGCAGCAAAGATGATAGCCCTCGGCTTCTCATCTGCCGCCGAAAGGGACGGACAGAGGAAAGCCTCTATTCTGAAACACTGTCGACCAAATGAGGAAGTTGCAACTCCCTCTCAATTAGGACCCACTATTCTTCACATGGTAAGTTCTAATTACAAGTCTGACCTCATACTGAGTCCCGGCCAGACCTTGTTTTTCAGTATGTATGGAATTGAAAAAATTTTCCCCGTAAAAAGTGAATCGTCTGGCTTTTGTTTGTCTGCTCAAGTTATGTCGGTTTGATACCACATCACGGGTTTAGCTTGTGGTGTAAGCAACTTTCTTTGTAGTTGCAACTTCAAGTGTTCAGTAGTTTCAGGGTGCAATTTGAAACTTCAAAGATTTTTTTTACAAAAATTTTTTCGGCTCAGTTTGTCTGTTCACAGAGTGTTGGCTTTATTTCCACTTCCTAAAATTTGTTCCTTTGCCAATTTTTTAATCAAATGTCTAAAATATTCGCTTAGAGTGAACTTATCGAGGCATAAAAACATTAAAATTTTAAATATAAAATGAATTTTTTTCACCAGTAAAAACATTGTTTTATGTTTGTGTTGTATCGCAAGTGGTGCGAAGCTCAGCTTCGCTTCTGTGTCTAATATCTCTTTTGTTTTCCGGAAACTGAACGCAAAAGGTTAAATGTTGGCTCAGCAAAACGTCTGAATTAAAAAAAAAACGTTTTCTGCGTTAGTGTGTTCTCACAGGTATATTCAAATGGTTTGTAATTAGTTGCAAATACCGCCTGTATCTGTGAGAAGAACATGCGGTGAACTTTTATCAATGGCAAGGCTTATGAAAAGAAGCTGTAGTTTCGTTTACAACCTCTCATATAAGAGGTTGTGTGATGCTGTAAGGACCGCTTTTTAAGTGTCAATGAACAAAATGAAGATAAATATTTCGATTTTTGTAGGAAAAAGTCGTTGAATTTGTTCGCGCTAAGTTTGATTTCTATGGAGTTTCATTTTAATTTTAGTCTTTAAGGTCAATCGAGACAACTTTGCAAAAATGAAGACAAATAAAGCTATCCAACAACGACAGTTGTTGGATAGCCAAATTATTTTTTTTTGAAATCTTATTTCAATTTTTGAGTGTCAATGAACACAGTGAAGACATTAATTAGGTTGTGCTGATGTATTTAATTGCAAAAGAAAGACAAGTTACGCTTTTCAGTACCGGCGCAAAATCCGTTGATGTCATACAGTTTAAAAATTGGATTTCAGTTTTTTAAAGTACCAGAGGTTTTTTTAACTTACGAGCAGTTTCTTAATTTCAGTTATACAGCTTACATAAATTGGATTCGTTTTTTAAAAGAATTTCGATCATTTTTGCATTATTTGATTTTTCCAGGATAATTTTTTAATCTTACGGTTGTTATCAGTTTGTTTTCCATTATTTAATCTATACACGTCGTTGTTAAGATTAATTGAATTGTTTCATCAAAAATTAGTGCTTCAAAATTTTCAAAAATTTAATAAAGTTTGCCTCATTTCGTTTTGGGATTTGTGGCTCTCCGTTTTGTTTTGATTGGCTTTAATGAAGGCTTCTTTTTCAAAAACTGAGTCTCCGTAACTTACTTTTCTGATGTTTAACAATCTTTACCAGGGTTGGGATCTTTTGATATAGGGAGTTGCAAATTCAAAAGAGGTCGTTTTTGCTGGGTGTTTGCACAACGCGGCGTAATCTTATATTCGAAGTTCACTTTTTCTAAAAATTTTCAGGACAAGCAGTGGCAGTCTCAGCCATGCTTATGTTTGTTCTGAAAATCAAACGACGAAGTACCTGCCGTGTTTCTCGAATAATTTAAATGAATTTTGTTTGCTTTTTCTAAATCTTTTTCCAACTTTTGCAGCATAAGCATAATATCTGGTTTACTTTTGGCGCATTGGCATAATATTGTTGCACCGGGATTTTTGGTGGCTATTTTTTGATTCTAGTCAAGCGCCATTGGGTAGATACTCTTAATCCTGAGAGCGGGATTCGATTTATTACTTAAATTTTTTCTCTTTCTTAACCCTTTTAGAGCTTTCTTTTGCCGTTGTAATAGCCATGACTTAAGTTACCTTGACCTTTATTGTTTTTTATTTTCAAAGACTTTTACGTTCGAGAACTAGATTTGAGAGTTTTTATATTGATGGAAGTTTACGCGGTTTACCCACCTTTTGACAACGTGACTTCATCAAAATACAACAAAAAAGTGAGCACTGGAGCATGGAGGTCAACTGTACCTTTCGTTTACAATTTTCAGGTAAACTATTTTTAAGAAATTAACCTCAGAATTATCCAATTACTTAAATGTCATGTTTGGCGCCAACAAACTGTAACTTTTTTGTCCATTTGCATGGTTACATTAGTTTTATTAAATTATCAAAGCGGATTTTATTTCGTCTTCAATCCTTCTTTCTTTGGACTTCAAATTACTGTTTTTCAAACTCTTTTGTTCTTTCTTTTTCGTGTTGTCTGGTCAGTGTAGAGCTCACCAAAAATAAAGGAAAAGAATTAGAGTTAGTTCTAAATGTCTAAAACCTGTTTTAAAACATGACATTCAAGTAATTGCTTAATTCTGAGGTTCATTTCTTAATAGTTTACCTGAAAATTATAAACGAATGGTACAGTTGACCTCCATGCTCCAGTGCTCACTTTTTGCTGTGTTGTGTTTTGAAAAAGTCACGTTGTCAAAATGTGGGCAAACTGCGTAAATTTCCATCAATATAAAAACTCTCAAATTTAGTTCTCGAACGTAAAAGTCTTTGAAGTTAAAAGTCAAGGTAACATAAGTCATGGCTATGACAGCCGTTTTCTCGCTCGTGTTTGCGAAGTACAACTTTGCCTCTCGTGTTTGTGAAGTACAACTTTGCCTATGTTTAAACATATCCTGGCAAAAAATTCTTCAGACAAGTGAGCCGCCACCCAATGATAATCAAAAAATTATCATGAAAAATACGAAAAATCAATAGGACCAGTGCGACATACAAATGCAACTTGTTTTTTACATGCGGCTTCATAAGTCTATTCCAGCTTCTTAAATGAATCTTTTTCCTAAAATATTATTTGTTGTCAATTATACTTACGAGCGCAAGTGCATTGTAATCGGAAGCTACGAGAGCAACTGCATTGTAATCGGAAGCTAGACTTTTTCTCCGTAAACAACTTTTCTTACAAATCTATAAGAATTGAAATAGCTTATAATTAATTGAAGCCTAACAACGGACGCTCCCTCGATGGTCCTTCACACTTTGCTTGGAGGTTATGCGGTCTCTTTTCAGAAGGGCTGGAGTTTGAGTCCCGGCTGAACCTTTTTTTTTCAGTATGTCCCGGCTTGAATTTTTCCGCTTAAATTGATTTGGCCAAATTTGATCAGGTTCTAGATTCAGATTCTTTCAGATTTTGTCGGATTTTCTCTCTGGTGTTTTAAACAAGTTTCAATGTAGTTGCAAGTATTGTTGATTAGTTTTAGGGGGGACTTCATACTTTTCCAAGTTTTTCTCGGCTCAACTAGTTTCAGCTGAAGGATTGTCGGCTTTGTTTCCGCTTTTTGCATATTCTGCTCCGTTGCTAATTTAGTTTTTAAATGTCTTGTGAGCCATTTTGCCGTAAAATATATTTTTTGCGAGACATACGAATTTAAATTTTTTCGTCATTATTTTATGATTTTTTTATTTGTCTTGTTTTCACTTGCGAGAGCAGCTTTTCCGTAAGCCAGTTTGCTTACTCTTTCGCTCGTGAAATTTACTACACTAACCGCACGTATAACTTACAACGTACAAACTGCACGTAAAACTTACAACGTACTTACAACACTTTTTCAGTCAAACCAGATCGTACAAGCTGACATGCTCAAATTGTTTAATGTTCAAATACAACAACCTTATAGTATTTTTAAAGGTAGTTTGTTTTCAACTTTATTTTTTGAAACAATGTTTCGGATTTGCATTTGTTCTAATTACTTTCGGCTGCTTTTTCGTTTTTTTTTCATATGTAACTTGAATTATTTGGTAGGTTTTTCAAGCAGTTGTTTCTCATTGCATGGGTTTTTCAGTCATTAATATAATTGAAAGTTGTTCTGTAGTTTAGCTACTCTTATTTTCATTTTTTCTAATTTCCTGCTAAATTTGTAATTTCCTTCTAAATTTTCACCTGCTGTATCTGAATGTTGTAAGGCATCTAATGTAAACAATCCGCGCTGTTTGGTTGTCTGCAGTATTTCGGATTTGTCATATAGTTTCTGAAATTTGTCATTATGTTTTCATTGTTGCGACGACTCGAAGAGTGGAAAGGGACTTTGAATTCGGGTCGGTTTTTTCTGCCTCAAGAAAGCTCGTAGCGGTCAAGTGTGGTATCATTTCAAAGCATTTTTAGTCCTAGTTCAGATTTTGAAATTTTCTTTTAGTGTCGAGAAAAATTTATGTGAATTTTCAGTCTAAGCTAGGCGAAACCTGATGAATATAGATGAACATGACTGATTTCCTGTTCATTTTGGCTACAAGCGTTATTTTAGCTACGATAACTTCTATGGAACCTGATCTAAACTATATTTTATTATTGGTCATAATTTAGATATTTTATCACTATAAAATATTTAATATTAACCAATCATGATCCATCTAACTAACAAACCACTTATTTGTAAGTGCTGAAATTACTTGTAATTTCAGCACCAGAGAGATTTGAATTTAACTTAGAAATTAGTTACCTTTCCAAAAGAACTTTAGCAATCGCAATAAGCCAGTGGACTCTAGATCTATTGAGCCTAGCAGAGACTAGTTAAACACCCTGAGACTAGTAGATATAAGAGTAAGATTAGGATCGGTATTACTAAGAAGTTGCACGAATCTATCCGGCCGAAAATAAGATAGCGTGACGAGTAGACGGTGTACCCTATCCGAAATTACTCTATGAGTTAGACCTAAAAACTCAACTCATCTAGTCATTTTTTTCCACCTAATTCAGTCACCCTATTAAAAAAAAGACTTGGCAGTAAAATCAGAAAAATAAATATCGAAATTGTTTCATTCGTTTTTTTTAAATTTGTTTCTTAAATTTTTGTGATCGGAACGTTCTCTGCAACTGGTACAGCCATGGTCTATCCTTTTTATATTTTGTAATTGCATGTAATCCCCCTGGGGTAATAAATTCCTTTGTTGTTATTGGTTTTTTTCATTTATTTGACAGGCTCCGTTGTCACGTGGATCCTACAGAACAGCTGTGTCTTCCTGTTCCCTGCCTCTGGACCTGATACTGTTCCTGTCAGTGGAGTCACACTTGGACAGGATGCGCTCAGTGGGCAGTATAGTGAACTGGCTGCACCACCACATCTGTCCAGCTGCCAGAACAGACTTCGACCACTCTGCATGGACTGCACTCATTCACGCACAGCTGATGAGAGACCACAGATTCCAACCCTACTCACACGTAAATAAATTCATGTGTAGCAGCTTGCCGAGGAGGTGTGACGAATGGGATCCTGTCATTTTTTGCAAAGGGTTTACTTGGTATTTTTAAAGACAGGCAATTCTCGCTGACTAGCTCTAAAAATTTTAAAGGCCCATTTTAGCGCAAACATAGTACTTGCCTAAAAAATAAAAAATGCGTTTTTTTCATACTTTCATCAGACATTAAAAAAACTACTTGCGAGAGCGTTTCTGGTAGTAAGGAACCAGACTTTCACTTGAAAAATTTTGTAGACTCAAAGTTTTAGTCATTCAGTTTTTCCCAGTAGCGTTATCGGTCATATTTTTGCTTGTGTATGTGAGGTGCAACTTCGCCTCCGTGTAAAAAACGTTTAAAAGTCGGACTTTCGTTTGTTTGCCTATTTTGTCGACTTCATTTCCAAAGCATGGTTTTAAAACAGTTCTCAATATGATTGACTATTGTCCTATTATTTTGTCAATTCACCAACTCGAGTTTTGATGTTTTTACATTTTTATTTCATTCCGATTAAATTGATTTAGGCCTATGTTTTATGGGCTGCTATTTTAATTTATTCCGTTTGAAGGGCAAAGTTTGATTATTATCATTTTTAGTTATCAAGGACGTGGTTGCGGACTAAAAGTTTCAAAATACAAATTTCGATTGCACAAGATTTGGCTCAGTTTTTCGCTCAAAATTATGACAATTATGTCTCAACTTTTTTTGACTCAATGTGCATGTTATCAAGTATTGTCGGTTTGGTGGCCGCTTTTTAATTGGCATTTAAATTCTTTTTTGATATTGGTGACTCTTTTTGGGATTTTTTTTCCGGAATTGATCTCATATCGCTCTATCTCAATATTTAATAGTCATTCTGGAGCTGTGGGCAGAGCAAACGTGGTTATAAAACTGCCGAAAATACGTAAGTGTTATGTAGTAGTTATGTAACAGTTACGAAACTTAAGCAAATTCATTCATATGATGTAACTTTTTGGGTTGTTATTTTATTCAGCGCATTTTTAGTTGGTTCTTACTTCGACCGGTTTATTTACTGTCAGAGCAAAGCGCTCCGTCAAAAGTTTCCTAGGATCAATGCACGCTATTTTTATCTTCTGAAATTTTTTCTTTGCCTTTTTCTTTTTTATTTTTTTTAGGCGATATTGTTTTTTGTACCACTTGTTTATGTTAGTTCTTACTGCTAATTTATTTTTCTTCTTACTTGTATAGAGTTTTCTGTTAATAACAATACGCAAATGATTACGCGACTGAAACGCGAAATATTTCTAGTTTCAAATTTTTAGATGCAAACCTTCAGAATAGCCAGCGGAATTAACAAGTATTTTTTGATCCAATTTTTTTAATTGGATGAGTGTTATCATAAAAACTTTAAAACCATTAAGCTGATTACACTAGCCAATTTTTGTGAGCGTGGTGTGACACTGTGACTCTTTTTTTCTAATTTAAGTCGCAAATAGTGGTGCCACTTTTGGGGCACCTTTACATCTTGTTATTAGCATGTGCTTTGACATTAGATTAAAAATAAGTTAACATAGTTGATCCATCTCTTATTGTTCAATTAAACCGAAAAAAGCTATTTGAATCAAAATCAATACAGTAATTTCGTTTGCCATTAGCAAGCATTATCAAGCCGGAATATAGACTTTTTCCGAGTGAACAACTTGTTTAACAGAATAACTTGTATCTTGGTTCATAATAATTTGAAAGTTCTAAGATTTCCCGACCAACTTGGCGTAGAGGTAACGAATATGTCTGGGCCCTCGGAAAAACCAAAGTTATGATTTTTAGACCGTTTTTTTTAGAAAATTTTTTGAACACTAGATAAGCGTTTGTCGATAGTTATTGTTTGCGATATTTAAGCGTCCGGGACCGAGAGGGCACTGAGTGAGAATCCAAATCTCGAGGTCGCAAGTTTAACAATACGCACCATAGTTATTCAATTTCGAGTCTTTTCTTTTTTCATTTTATAAAGCTGCATTGTTGCCGTGTTTTCGCTAGTGTTTCTGAAGTGCAGCTTCGATCTGTGTAACTTCTTAAACATCTATCTATCTATATCTATCTATCTATACTATATTTAAATGCGAGTGACAGCTATCTCCCATGCCTAAGTATAATAATTTTGCATAATTAACGAAATAATTTTTTCATGTTTAAGCTATATCATATATTGCAACACTTAAGAAAATTTTTCAATTAATTTTCCGCAGGTTCAATAATTTTTCAGTAATTTTTTTGGGGGCCAACTTAAGCCTGTCTGTCTGTGTACCTGCTTTTTCATTCAATTTCACTATGTCTGTTTACCCGTCTCCTAATTTTCTAGCTTTTAATTTGGTGTCGACGATTCAGTTCAAAATAATACTGCTGTCAAACGGTTAGCTCCGATTCTTTTTCTTTGTCTTTATCTGGATTTTCTGGAAATCATCCAGTGGTTCTGTTTGTAACTAGACTGCAGCAGGAGGTGGGAATGGTGTGGAGCAGTGGCGTGTCAAGGGTGGGGAGTGGAGGGAGAAGATGATGTTGATGCTGAGGGGGGAGGAGACACTCTCCAAATTGAGACACTTCCTGCCTAGAGTCAACACACTGTCAGTCCACACATATTATCCTATTCTATCTCGTCACTTCAAGTTTACTCTTAATGATAGTTCCATAAAAGCTGTAGCAGGAACGTTAATGCATGAGGTGATTTGGTGGTTCTTTAAGCCTCATCTAAAACTGGTACTTGGTATGTTGATTGAATATTAGTTTTGGCATCTCTGCCAGGTCACGTAAGCTTCTTGTCAAGGTTGAGTCATCCCGTATACCTGCGGACCCTGTTCGTTCTTTAAGCTAGAAAAAAATCAATAAAAAACTAAAGTAAATCTTGAGACTTTACTTAACTCGGTTTTTTTAAGAGTCATGAACGTAGTGAGTACTCTTATATAGGTCTTTCGTCTTTTTTTTGTTTTTTTTTTGTTTTTTGGAAAAAGTCTGAAAGCTTGTTCTCGCTCAATTATGGTTTTTCGCGGTTTGACTGTTAAGCCAGTTTTTTTTCAAATTGGACCTATTTTATCAGACAAAAAAAAACAACCTTAAATTGTTCTAGAAATTCAAAGAGTTTTAAGGCCATCTATTTTTTTACTTCGAAATTCGGAAGTTAATTTTTTTTGCAATTAAGTCCATAATTTTTATGTTTCCGTGCGTTGCCTGTTTTCAAATTGTTTTTTGGTTGTTTTAGCATGCAACAGATAGTTGAATCATCTCGGGTGAATCGGTCTGAGAAGAAAGAAGAGTTAGCGAGCAACTGTAAAACAAATGGGGCGGAAAATTGTACTTTGCTACTTGATCATTGTTACTCTCTCATCAGTCATCCTCAATATGGTCATCCAAGTCATGAATTGCAAACCGAATCAGGAATAACTTCTGCTGTCCAGCATACTCCTCAAGAGGCGCAGATCTCTGAGACGAGTGATGATGTCAACAGTTTGAATACCGCTTCGTCAAGGCCGGAAGAAAATATTTGTTTCGACCATGAGCGAGCCTCAGATCACGACTGTGAGAAGCAAAATTGTTACGCCAAGTACGGCTGTAGTTTCACACGAGGCTTTACGAAAGAAGAAGTAGAGAAAGAGTTGGGAACTCTGAAAGTGGTGAGTGGGAATAGAAGACGCAAACAGAATCTGAAAATGTGCCCAATTAGAGTGAAGGAAGAAGTGAAAAGCGAAGTGGGCGACGATGAGTGCAACATGGAAGTGTTGAAGGAGCTGCGAACTCGTGAAGAGGACTTGTTTGGAATCAAACTGGAACCGGGGGATAGTAGAAGAGCTTCCCAAGTGAGAGATGATGCGCAGTGGACTGTGAACGGGAAGCCGATTAAGAGAGACGAGAATGGCAACAGAATCATCAAAATTAGACAGTGAGTTCAACACTTTGCTTTTTGTTGTGTCATTATTGCATCAGTTTAAATGCTATTTTCTCGAAATTGAGTTAAGATAACTGGAAAAGTGGAGTTGTAGCAGATGGGCACTTTTTCCCTGCACTTTTTGCTCTTGCGATGTTTCTGAGTTATTTAAATGACAGGAAATATAACCACTCATTGAAGGGCTTTCATATGTAGTCCAAGCATTTGATCGTTGAGAGGCAGCCTTGGCAAAGTTTTGGCCCTGCTCGGCAAATGACCAGATTCAGCATCCGGTTATAATATCAGATTTTAGATATTTTTAAAGAATATGAACTTTGCACTTTCGTGGCTTTTTGGTCATTTCTTGCTTGAATGTGCATTGTACCTTTTATTTGTGAAAAGAGATGCTCAATGGGACATAACTTGTTAATTCATTAAAATAATTTTAATAATAATTTCCTTTTTTAAGCCAGAAACTTATAACCATATATTCAATGAAACTGTGTCTTCACAATCTGGTTCGGCTTGGGAGAATACCAAAAGGGCTATAGCCTGGCGAGTGGAATCTTCATAAGCAAAAGCTATTCGCCATTTTTTACGTTTCGATTAGCAAGCGTTATCAAATCAGATTATAGACTTTTTTCGGGTTTACAACTTGTTTAACAGAATCATCTGAATCTTTCGGTATCTTGGTTTATAGTGGTTTCAATTTTCCAAGAGTCTTCGACACACTTAGTTTGGAGGTAGCGAATATGCATGAGACGGCAAAGCTTGGTTTGAGTCTGACCAGGACCTGTTTTTTTTAACGGCAAATATTCCGCTTCTAAAAAATTGTTGTCTTGTTTTTGTCTGCTTGTTTTGTCGACCTAGTTGCCACAGTTTAGACTTTCATGACCTATACAGTTTATTGAAGTTACTTTTTCTGCTTTCATTTACTCCTGCAATTTCTAATTCTACTGGCCTTGACTGAAATTGCTGTCAATGCTAGTAGATATAATTTAAATGCTTTACTTCGGTTTGCACAAAACATTAAAAATCTCCGAATGTTTCTCTGTGTTATCGCAAGTGATGCGAAGCTCTGATTCGCCTCTGTTTTTAAAAGCTCGATCAGTTAGACAGTACTCAGGAAGGGCCGCAAAAAATCTTTAAAATTTAGGAATGAAAAGAAAAAAAAAGAAAATCAATGCACAGTTCATTTTTCCAGGTGTTTAACAATCAAAGTGTTATTGGTGCTTAACGATCCTTCTTATTAGGTATTCCATAGATTAGTACACTATATTGATTTATTGGTTGAATGTATGTTTAAGAGTAGTGAGCCTATTGATTTTTTTGTTCAGGAAAAAGTCTTTTTTTTTCAGGAAAAAGTCTTAAAATGCTCTTGTAACTACAGATATGCATTCATACATGTTAATGCATTTATGAATGCACTTACATATATCTGGAATTTTGGACTTCAAGTAAAATTTATCCGAAGGCTAACCTAATAGCACTCTCCAAATAAGAACGTCAAATTGGCGCGAAAAAACGCGGATAGTTTCGAAAGTGGAATTTAATTTTCAGATTTCCAGTGGAATAAAAACTTTACCTATTAATCTAGTTTTCTCAAGATGGGTTATGGTTATCAAAACAGCGCCAATGATAAAGTTTTCTAGAAATTCAAAGAGCTGCAATGGCATCTATTTTTTTTCTTTGAAGTTCGAATGTTTTTCAACAAAGTCAGTGTTTTTTTTTCTGTGTACTTGCGTTCATTACTCTTTTCCAGCTGTCAGTTAGCTATGTTTTGTACATCCTGAGCAGAGCAGTAGTGTCAAAAAAGTATTTGAGTTGATAAGTCATCGAGCAAGATTAAGTTGCCCCCTTTTCAAAGTTTTATCCATGTGTGATTGAAGTTCAATATTTAATCATTTACTAGGCCTAAGTACTAATGGGATCTTTTGTTAGAACTTTTTATTTTAAATTAGAAGGTGGCTGTTTATCCTTGTTTATGGTGAGCTTATTCTTTCTCTAAACATCAATTTTTAAATTGTATTATATCAATAGTCTCCTAATGATTTCCAGTTTCAGTTGTTGTATACAAAGTGCAATCATCGGCAAACAGTTCTGCCTTAATCTATCTACAGACGCTTGGCAAGTCATTCATATAGAGAAAAAACAGCAACAGCAAAAAAACATTAAGAAAATATTTCAAGTACATGTTCGCCTGTGTATAGTTTTTTGCCTTTAGATATCAATCGAGGGGAAGACCAAAAAGAAGTGAACAATTTAAGAAAGAGACGACGAGGTTGCGAATGATCAAATACCGCAAGATAATGACACTGACAGAGGAGCCAGAAGAGATCATATCCATGATTCCCAAGTCGTTTTACATCCCCAAGTCACTCCGGAATCCAATTAAGGACGAGTGGGATCAACGCAACCCAGCAGGCAACTCATGCGCAGAGTCGGTTGGGGTAAAAACAGAGCCAGATGACTCTGTCTGTACAAATGGTGACGTCATGGTTGTGACTGATATTTACTCAGAAGATGATCTAGATGTTGATGTAACAGATGACGCAACAGATGAAGATTGCGTAATCAAGGAACTTTCCAATCTAGACATGGCTATTGATGCGAATTTAGACTATGCATCGTTATTCGTTCCGAATGAAGGCTTTTTAAACATGGGTGAGTTCAAAACAGAACCATCGAGCAATAAACAATACCCGGAGAATTATGTGAAAGAAGGGCCCATCAAATCTGTTCCTTGCCGCAAGCCACGCAAAGCAGTGCCTACCAAACGTAAATCGTCGTGTCAACATGACAAGGAGCTCGAAAACTTGAATAAAAAGACTGCCAAAACTATCGACTCAACTTGTAAACGTTTAAATGTATGTAGTAAACAATCTCCTAGATCATCTAAAGGCAATCATACTTCAAGTCAATCAGAGCGTCAGATGTCTTACAGATCAAGCATGTCATCATTGAACAAGAGTAAGAGGAAGCGACAGCCGAATAGAATGTTGTCCGACTTCCAACTGAGCATGACTTTCAACTCACCCTCACAGTCTCCGTCCAAGAAGTCCAAACAGAGACTTCTAAGCATGAATTGTAACTCTGTGCTGTCGAATATATTGGAACAGAGGAGAGCGAAGAGCAGGTCAAAAGTTACGAAGCTCCGATAAAAAACTACGAAGTCAATCGTTTAGTGATCAGATCTGCTGACATGGAAAGGAAAGTCAGACAATATAATTCTGACAAAACGTTCATGTACAACTGAAAGTCATCGAAAAAGAACTCAGTATCAAAGCAGTATATTTAATAAGTTAAAATGTCTATTTATTGCATCTATCTTTTCTTAATTTATGACATTTTCCTTATGGACTCCAGGAATAACGTTATTTTCTCTCTGCTTAAGTTAATGTATTTCTATAAAAGTGCAATTTTGTAACTTATTCATGAACTATGAGATTTTTCTATCGTATGTTTTCAATCGGAAGCTAAAAGTCACCATTAAAAAGATTGTTTTGCAAGAAGGGCAAAAAAGTTAGCCTTCTTAGCTGCCAAGTCTCAGATTAAGGATTCCATCGCAAAAACCAGTAAACCGTAAACTATTTTTCTTACACATCTGTAAGAAATTGTGAAGTTGCTTTATTATTTAACCTAGAGGTTAACTGGCATGCTTTTATACGCTAAGGTCCGCGGTTTGAGGCCCAACCAGACCTTGTTTTTTCCAGCATAAAAAATTGAATTGGACTTTCGTTTTTCTGCTTTTGCTCTAGCGGCTTAGTTGCCCCATCGGGCAATTTTCTTGTGCTGTCAGGAATTTCCATCATAAATGCTACTGTTTTTGACTGATTCCTGTAGTTTGTAAAATTAATATCAGTGCGCTGTATTTCTCCTTGGTTTTGCTGTTTCTTTTTTCTCGCGGAGAAACTTTAAAAGGCCGAAATGGTTTCGGCTGATATTCTGGTTTATATATTTTTTGAAAAATTCAGTTGGTTTTTGTTGCAAGATTTCAAAGTTATAAAACTTAAGTGGTCTAATTTTTTAATGACAACAGTTTCTTGGGACATTTTTTTTTACTCAGCTCAGTAAAAACTAAAAGCTTATTTTATACTGGTGGTTGTGTTTTTCGATTGTTTTTCTGAAAATACTTTCATTGTTTCCTAAAAAAACTTTCGAAGTTGCTATTTCCGTCTCATTTTATATTCACTAAGCCTTACGAGGCCAAACTGTGTATTTTGTGAATTGTAAGCGGATTCCACAACAAGGACGCTCCCTTTGTTCTTTAATTTTCTTTGATTATTCCGACAAAGTGCTAACATGTTTAAAGACTTGTCTCTGGAAGCCAGGAACGTACAGACACAAAATTTTGCGTCTGTCCATTGCACAGTTTAACCTCGTGTTGCAGCTTGCAATGTTGCGCTTGCGATGTATTGCAATTGATGCGAAGCTCTGCTTAATCTCTGTTGAATTTTCTTGAAAACTAGCCTGCCAAATTTGAGATAATGCTTTTAAGGAAGAAAAGCTGTCGAAAGTTTCTGTGCAGAGGAAAATTTCTCTGAAAGGTTGAACTTAGAAAAAGGACACGGTTTGAAAGGTTGGTCGTTTTTTTTTGAATTATTTCGGAAAGTACTCTGTCAAATCCAAGATAGAGGATTCAATCAAAATCAATGCGGCTACGTCCTAAAGCTTGTTGAAAAGCAATGTTCTACTCAGCAAAATTCCAGTCTTTAATTATTTTTTGAAGTTGGTGGAAATTTGGAAATATTGCCTTTCGCAGCAGTAGAATTTAAAAATGTGCTCAAATAGGTAGCTCCAGCTTTAGCTGGGCCCTCACTGTAAACTAATGTCAAGCACCAATGGCACAGCTGCTAGGAACTGTTACGTTGAAGCTCGATGTCGGGGTTTTCGATTCAGATACAAATCAGATTTTTAATTAAACCTTTTCGCTTTTTTTCGACCTTTTTAGAACATTTTTGCCCCTTTCTCGCTTTATGATTTCTTCAATTTTTCAAAAAAGTCAGTTTGATAGAATTCTTCTAGAAATTGAAATTCTCGACATTTCAAGTGGGAGACTTGTGGTAGTTCCGAGGTTATCAGTTGTGGCCACGATATTTGGTTGCTAGAATACTTTTTTCGAGATTAATTTTTTTTTAACTTTGTTCAGGTTGTGGCCACCATATTTGCTTGCTTGAATATTTTTTTCCGAGATTATTTTGTTCTTTTCTTTGTTCTTTTCATTCCACGTAAAATCAGGTGCCACAAATAATCATCGGAATTGGTCGAGTGATGTATCGTGTTAAAGCCTTCTCAGTCGCAATGCGAACGATATTAAAAAACTTTGATTAAAGTTTTTGTGTCTAGAAATATCGGTTTGAAATTTTTGGGCTAATTTAATTTTGGGCAATTTTTGAAATAAAAACAAAATCAATTGGGCTATTTGACTATGATTGTCGATTATCCCTAATTTTTTCCCTCCGATTTTTTTTTATCATACAACACAGAAAAATGACACAATTTTGGAAAAAAATTCGTTGGCGGCTTAGTTTTTTCGTTAAAAACTTGGTCTACCGAGCTCCTGTTCAATGCAAAGACTTTTCTTGAAGCTTCTATTTTATTGTTTTCAATGATGCAGGTAATTTGTTTCCACGGTTTATGGATTTTTTAATTAATTTTTTTCTTTTTACACTTAGTTTCATTTTTTCTGCTAATTGACATTTTGTCGATTGATTTTGTAAGTCATAAAAAAATGAATGATTGTTTCATATCTGAACTTATTCATCTGATTTTATACAGGAAGACAAATTTTGAAAAAATGTTTTATTTCTTTTTTCAAAATTGAATTTTCCAAATATGAACTACTTTGTAGGGTTTTTGATGAATGGGTTATGGATGGATGCTGATGTAAAATTTAGTTTTCCAAAACATATCGGAGAAGTATTGCTGAAGGGTGCTCCTGGTTACTTACGGAAAAATTATTTTTGAAAACTTTTGAACGGGTCGTTGTTACTCATAGGATACTCAAATTAAGATGTTATTTTTGATGTTTTAATTTTTCAACCTTTTCCTAATTTTGCGCCTTGATTTTTGGCTCTGTGCCATTATTTGCCATGATGTTGCCTTGTATCACCTAAATTTAACTACTTGGTAGAAAAACAAGTTGACGACTAATGGACTACGCTCCAATCCGGTCAACAGCTGTTTTTTTTAAACCTAAAGTTTTTAGTATCAAAAAATGATCGGCCTATGGTTGTATGTTTATTTTTGTGGGCTTAGTTGCCACATTTTTAATCTTCTGTTTTTAAATATTTTTTGTAAGTGTTTTGGATGTAATTTGTAATTTTTACGTAGAGGTATAATTTTTTTCGTATTTCAAAAAATTTTGATTTTTTTTGTGACAACCATTTCCTTTGGCATTTTTGTTTTTGGATAAATTGGCATGTAAACACGTGTTGTGGCTTAGTGAAGGCTCAGAAAAATTAAAATCTTGCTTTATGCTGGTGGTTATGTTTTTTTTTTCGTTTTTCAACTTTTTTAACACTTAGTTTTTTCCATCTCACTGACCATTTAGTAGCTTGCAATGGTACGCTTTCGTTATATCGCAATTGAATCGAATCTCCGCTTTGCCTATGTGTGTAAGTTAAGTTCCAACATATTAAACGAAAAAAAAAACATTTTCTTGATTGGTTGTTTTGAATTCTTTGAAGTTGGCTGCAAATTATTCGCGAAAGTTAATGTACCACAAAAAATGGTAGATCAGCTAGAGTTAGTTGTGTCGTAGAAGTCATTTCAGTCGTGGCTCAGGACGTAATGGAAAATTTCTTTGACATTTGTTTCAAATGTAATTTTTTTTTGTTTTTAAGATTAATTTAGAGTGCAGATTTGATGATTTCAACCTGTAACTACATAATTTAAGACGTTGTTTTATAGAGTCATTTTAGCTATTAATATGCGGTCATTTTAGCTTGTTTTATGCGGTCTTTTTAAAGTATCGGAATGCATGTAAAGAAACTGCGATCGGAAGATTCTGTTTTTACCTTACAGCAGCCGGCTTCCAATGGCTGCATTAGCTATTGTTAGACTTATTGAATTTTGGCGCAAATGGTTTAAAGTTTCATTTCGAATAGTTTGTGTGATTATTTGTAATATTCTTTTGTTTTACCTTATTTTTTGTTGTAGTAATGATTGGGGTTTTTGAGATTTCGAAATTCAGTAAAAATTTGATAAGAAATGGGCACTGGTTGATAATACATTTCGCCATGTGTTTTCTCGCCTGTTTGCATTGTAAAACCAATGCAGATGATTTACTGTAAAAAGAAGAGCCTGTTCTCCATAGTTATTGAGATGTCTATGTGAAGGCAATGTACAGCTGTCTGTTATCCAGATGTCACCAAAGATAGTTTTTCGTTATTTTCAGATAGACTTATTCTTGATGCAATGCTATTAATGTGAGAGAGAGAGAGTGAATAAGTGAGGAACTGCGGAAAAGGAGCGTCAACTGGTTGTTCTCCAATGGTGATCGAGGCCTACAATGTGAAGAGTGAGATCAAGTTCGACCAGCAGTCAGATGTCAACTCCGTCTCATTCAATGCCACTGGGGCTCTACTGGCCGTCTGCACTTGTGACCGCAAAATACACCTACTGGGTGCCAATGCATCTGGCTCATCCTTCGAACACTTGCCAGTGTCGCCACTGAATGCCAAGTGAGAATTTAGTCTAGAAGTTAGAGAGCAATTTAGTTGGCAGAAAGTTAACTTCACCCAGTTGCTTGAAAAAATTGCAAATCAACCTAAATATGGCGAGTCCGATCTTATTTTTTGTGGAAGTGATTACAAGCTCGTAATTGAGTGTTTATAGTGAAAGAACTACTCGATCTAGTATGAAAAGTAACCTGTAATAGTCAATTATTTTTGATTAAGAGTCTCGATAAAGAAAGAAGGATTTCAATTTTCCGGTTTATATTTTATCATTGAAATACAAATTTACCATGAAATTTATATTTAGCCAATACAATGAAAGACAGATTGCTCAGAGGGGAGGAAAAGGAAAGGAACGGGATGAAATGATCCTCCGTTAAACCTACTCATTAGTGAAATACTAGTGTAAATATAAATAAACCAGCCGAAAAGTTACGTCATGGTGAATGAAATTTGCATGACTTTTGGAACCTGATCTAAACTACATTTTATGATTGGATAAATTAGATATTTTACCAATGTAAAGTATTTAATATTAACCAATCATGATCCATCTAACTAACAACCCACTTATTTGTAAGTGCTGAAGTTACTTGTAATTTCAGCACCAGAGAGATTTGAATTTAACTTAGAAATTAGTTGGACTCTCCCGAGCACTTCAGCAGCCGCAATAAACCAGTATACCCTAGATCTATTGAGCCTAGCAGAGACTAGTTAAACAACCTGAGACTAGATAGTATAAGAGTAAGATTAGGATCGGTATTAGACTAAGAAGTTGCACGAATCTATCCGGCCGAAAATAAGATAGCGTGACGAGCAGACGGTGTACCCTATCCGAAATTACTCTATGAGTTATACACTCCAGTCCTAACTCATCTGGTGCGACCATAAGTCTCGAACAAGACCTTAATAGCTTAGAATTAACCAAAATAGATTAGAAATTAGACAAAAACATTTACAAAATGTTATACGACAATAATTTAATCGAAATGTCTCTACGACTCAATAGATCAGAGCCAATATTCCGAACCATAACAGAACTACCCGGAATTGGAAGAAGACCTCGAAACAGAGACGACATACGACAAAGTAGAAACTTGCCATATAGCTATATGATAGTTAGGCAAAAACCAGAACAAACTTTTATATTTAGAATACTACTAGCAATGAATTTAGATTTTCATTTGCAAACATAAAACCTTGAAGTCAATCCTCAAAATCATTTCAGGCGCTAAACAAAATTATTAATATACAATAACGATTGATAAAAAGATCTAAGATCGTTTTCCTAAAAAACTCTGCAGTAATATACAAAACATGTTTGAAAAATATTTATTGAAAAATAAAAAATAAAAATTAGTAGCATGACAATAAATGGTTAGTAATCATAAATCATCCTGTTGTTCCAGCTCCATCATCTAAAACATAACAGCAATCATAAACCCACTAATATCATCAAAACACTAAATCTTTCCTTTACACACATTTAAAATTTTATTAAAACTTAAATTCACTTAATTTTAAAACCAGATCATCAAGGCTTATCCTTGGATCTTAAATCATTTTCTACTTAATTAAATTTCAAATTTGATCATCAAGGCTTATCCTTGGATCAAACAGAACAACTTTGTTCTCCCCCACCCACTTAATTAGTGTCTAACGACCTCAAACGTCGATTCACTACCCAACCCTTTCTAAAGACCCAAGACTAATAGAAATTTTTAAACAAAACTAATCATTCAAATTAGGATAAACAGTGAAGAACTTCGGTTATTCATCCTTCACTTGACCCCCCCTCTTACCAGACCCAGGATAAATCTTAGACTTAGTAAGTTTAAAATAGTATCTAACGAACTACTCGCGTTCTAATTATACCTGAACCTTGTGGATCGATTTACTATTCTCCAACCCTTGAACACAATCACTACCCCTAAGTAAGATTAAGTAAGTTAACACCTTAACTTATACTAGCCACGAGAAAGTAAAAAATCATTCTTCGGAATCGATATACTTTTCTCTCCAACCCTGAACAAATAGACCCAGGTTAAGCTAACCAAAAAATCGTAAGAACTAACAGTTTAAGAAAATAGAAATCATTTAACAACCTTTTGCATCCGTCATCCTAAACCTTATGTCATTTAAAAACCTAGGAAATAAACAAACAATCGTTTTACACAATTGTGAAATAGATAACAAAAAATACGACCTTGTAATCACACCTCATACACAAACAGTTGGATACATTCGAACAAAAAGACAAACACTAAAAAGAAAAATAATAACGAAACAAAGACAAATAACACGAAAAAGATTTTCAAAAAATCGAAACGCATTTTCAGAATCAGAAACTAACAGTTTAGACGAACTTTACAAACTAAAAGAATCAATAGATAAAAATTGCCCACTTCACAATCAATTATATTTTTCTGACTCAGAAACAACTTCAAATTCATCAAAAAGAGGAAAAAGAAGAATAAAAAAGCAGTATAAACACAAACCAGTACATTTATACAATTGGAATCAACCAATTAGACACATTGATAATTACATATTAACAGTCATCGAACGAAAAAATGAGCTCAACGCACACCCCAGGTGAAGAAAGTCCAGATGATGATGAAATCTTTCCCTTTATAGTAGATGCAACCACTGATAGAGGACAGCATATATTTTGCAAAAATTTACTATTAAATTTATTTGAACCCGGAATCAGTCCATGTAAAACAGAGTTCCCAGATGTAAAAATCAAAAGACAAATCATAGACCACTACTTAAAAGATATATGCAACATAACACAACAGTATGGAATCTACTCCATAGAATTCACCTCACCAAACCATAATAATAGAAAATATACAATTCAAACAGACGACCTTGATTTAGAATTTTCAAAAGTTTTTTCAGAATATATAAAAAGCATCCAATATCATAACTCACAAAGAGCAAACTCCATATTCACCAATGAAGTTTACGCAATAATATATAGTTATATTTCGATATTAGAAAACGAAATCCCAATAACAAATGTCTCACCGACAGAAACATCTAAGCATTTAAGAGTACGACATGAAATCACATTACTCTCTAGTTATTTAAACATCATTAAAGAAAATTTCACGAAAGACGACGTTTCACAACATACAAAACACGATCTACAAAAAATTTTGGCATGGTTCATAATAGATTATTTCACACACAATATTGATTTAATTGCACAAGCAAGAAAAAATTTTAGACCTCAAAACTCGAACGATGATACCGCTATCACAGAACAATCAGATTATGTTTGGGACCCCGAATGGTCTCATCCCGCATTTATAAGCTTCCCACAATCAATCTCAAGTCAAGCAATAAGTACGATATCTTACATAAGAGATTATGTAAAAGTAATACCATTAACCATTGATGCAACACCATTAAACTATAATACATTTTTGCCCGATACACAAAATAATAGTTTAAACTCTACAGTTATACACAATGAAAACCTCAATGGAACTAGGAATCTTACTCAACAAGATATCCAGACACCATCACACTTCATAAATGAAGAAATTGTGCACACAACAACTACACAACAAAGTATTTCACCAATACGCCCAAATTTAACAACACCAAGAAATACAAATCCTTCACAAACACAGGTAACCTTACAATCAACCGTTAAACCTTCGGTTGCTCCTAAATATTCACATATGGATTACCAAACATACAGACCCATGACAATACCATCAAAAACACACAAAACATTCACTAGAAACAACTTTGCAGACCATAATTATAATTATACACATCCATCAAAAACATATAACCAACCACAAAGAAATTTTAACCAATATACAAGATCTCGAAATTGGGATAACCCAATGACCCAACCTAATTCAATAAATTTCCAAACAAATCCTCCACAGGATCACAGTGAAAATTACCCATTTTTTCAACAAAATAAAAATAAAAAACAGACATCTTATCAAATGGATTATTTATCCTCAGATGATGATTTCTTACAACCAGATATATTTGCACCAAATACTCAAGAATATCGTAGACAAGGAATACAGAGAACACGTACAAATCATAGAAATTTTTCTCCACAACCAATAGATGCACAACATCAACAACCAATTCAACAACAAAATCTAATTAATACACAATCTTTTCAACCAATTCAACAACAAAATCCAATGACTGCACACTCGTATCAAGCATCACAAATGCAAAATGAAATACCACTCCCATATTATCTCCAACAACATGAAATAACAAGAAACCAACTTTCAAATTTTTCTCAAATGCCAAATGCAGCAGAATCATTACAAATGACAATGAATCCATACCTTATGGGTGGATCATCAATAACATCAAACAAACCTTTAATGGTTTTCACAGGAACAGACCCTGAATACTCTGTAGAAGATTATTTAAATGCAGTAACAGCAAACCTGATTTTAAATATTGGACCTGAACCAATTAATACGCCACTACATCAAAACTGGATACATCGACGCACAGCGTTAATACAAACAACCCTAGATGGCGCAGCCCAAAAATGGTTTTCAGTACTACCTCTAGAAATAAAATCAAACTGGAAAAGGTTTACACAAGAATTTTCAAAAATGTTTGACTCCGAAAGAAACAAACAACAACAAAGAGTTTTATGTAATGAAATTCGCAGATTACCAAACGAAACCATCAAGCAAATAGCTGTACGAATCGAAACACTAGTTCGAAAAGCATATTCATTAAATACACATGACTATAAAAACACAAAGATGACAGAAATCTTAATGATGACCTTAACACCACAATTAAGGAAAATAGCAATAAAAAAGAGAGCATCCCATCCTTCTTCAATTCGAGAACCCGATTTAGATTTTCGAAAACTAGTAGACAAATTAGAACAAGCAGAAATCACGATGAAACTAGAAGAAACGGAAAATCTGAAATTACAATACGTTAATAGAATTGAAACGACTCCCACTAATATTAATAATATACAGGAATCA